CAAACATAAAATAACAACATAATTTAACGAGAAAATTTGCAATTCAAAAAAATTAAAGATGAATTTATCTTACAAATAAAGTAAATTAATCCAAAATTTTGTTTCAATCAAATTTACGCTAATTGTTGAATTTTCTGTTCAGAAAAAATATTCTTATAGTTTTCTTTAAATTAGCTAGTACAAACAATTACGAAAATATTGAATCGAACCATACCAAAAAAATAAACTTAAAATACATGAACAGAAATTTGTTTTAAAAGTAATAAAACTATCTAAATTATCTAAAAGTTCTCAAATTACAATAATGTTTTAATTTTTTTCAAACAAAAATATCTATAAATTATCCAAAATTATTTGTATTACATAAAATATCCAAATATGATAAAGTCTTTACGTATTTGATAATAATTTTAAATATCCGAAATCATATATATTATATTTATATTATCCAATTCATTTTAAAAAATATATATATTCGATGTATTTTCTAACTCAAATATCTGCTTTTATCTAATCTATTATCCAACTGAATTATGGAATCTAACTAAATCTTGCAATATTTTTTTTTTTGCAGAATTGCTGAATCTGGCAGAATTTTTTAAATTACAAATAGTAACTGCAGAATTGCTGAATGTAGCTGAATTTGGAAGAATTTTTTTCAATGTCACCATTTACACTCATAGAATCAATCAATCAACTCTACGAAAGCATACGGACTCTCACCAGGAGACGCCACGTTATCACACCCAGAAAGAGCCACGTGGCGCTTAAAAACTTTAAAAATGATGTGTTGACGAGAATTCATCATCAAATTTTGAAACCATCCTTGATTTCTTTTTTTGTCCATTTGAATTACATAAAACCTCATCTATAGATTCCCAAATATAATCTCACGAGATATAAGTCAAAAACTATTAAATGAATGAATGCATCCCTTTTAACCGAAGATTTTGCAGTTGTGCAATGTAAAATATCAAAATACGATCATATAAACTTTTCTGACTTGACTTCTTAATATTGAGGAGTGAAGAGAGTTGTAGATTTAATCTGCTACACCTGGGAGTTGGAGTCAGGAATGGTGATCTTATGTTGCTTTTCTTCACATTTTGGCATAATACGATTCGAGTGAGTCAGTTAGATAATGTATTATGCAGTGTTCTAAAAAGCGTTCTAGGCATTCGCCTAGGCGACGCTAGACCCCTATAGATCGTGGCGATTACCGCTTTTGCCGTCTAAAATATTATGGTATTATTATAATAAAATACTATAATTTTTATTAGTTATAAATTATGGTTTTTTATATATTTTATTATATATATATCTAATATATTATGTACTTATTTTGTAAAACGCTTAAACCGCCTATTAAATCGCCTAGGCTCCGATTAGGCGTTTTAGGCACTAGGCATTGAACATTGCTATTATGTCGAGTAAGTTAACTACAACTGATTCTTTTTCATAGAAAATAGTTTTTTTGTTTTTTGTTTTGGTTGAAAAAGTTCATAGAATATAGTTGAAACTTTCTATGAATTAGATAAAAAGCAAAAAAAAATTATTTTCCATTTCTTTGATGAGCGAGAATGACTGTTTGAACTCGTGTTGTAGGCATGCATGATGCATGTTGGAGCCTCGAGTCACCTGGGTCGAGGGGTAGAAGCTTCTCTTTGTGTCTTACAAATTGGTTGTTTAACAATAATACAATATACAACACATCATGTAAGTGTGGCTAGATGCATCCGAATTATAATAGTTCCCTCTTATCTTAATTCTTCATAAGACCTAATGGATTCTTATATGGGTTTGTATTGTA